TTTCTGAAAAAAGCTTAGTTGACTCAGCAGTCTGAGAACTATCTCCCCAGCTCTCCGCTTAACATTACTATTCACATGCACATGTTTCCGCATAGCTAAGGCCTTCCAGAGTCTTCATGTAAAATCACAATTAATAAAACCGTGGGTAGAACCCATAGCCTTTTGCTTTACTAAGGCAAGACTGAGAAAGGCCTTCCTTCTGCTAATTATTCATTTGACAATGTATTGTCAAATCCTCAGGAAGCTATGTACCTGGATCTCAGTTGCCTAGCAATACACTAAAATGTTTTTAGAGTTAAAATGTAATGATGTTTCTTCATTTCTGGGCAGTAATTACATAATAAAATCCAATTGATTAAAAAAAATTCTTCTTTCCTCTTTAGAATATCTATTCTTCCTCCTTCCACTGAAGTTAAGTATACTTCCTCTTGGCTAAGGCTGAATACTCTACCTACTACACTTTTGAGCCTCTTTGCCATGGGTCTTTTCCTGCCTATGTCAACTCAGGGCTGAAATTTACCTTTCATTACCTCTTCTCTTTTACCTCTACTCTTTCTCCTTTTCAATAACTCCTGTATCCTGGCTTTTGCTGTATGAACCCATTAACTTTCTTTTTTTCTTTTTTGAACTCAGTGCCTGGGTGCTGTACCTGAGCTTTTTCACTCAAGGCTAATGCTCCACCACTTTGAGCTACAGTGCTACTTCTGGTTTTTTTTTTTTTTTTGTTTGTTTGTTTGTTTTTTGGTGGTTAAGATAAGAGTCCTACAGAGTTTACTGCCTGGGACAGCTTTGAACTGCCATCCTCAGATCTCAGTCTTCTGAGTAGCTAGGATTACAAGTGTTGAGACACTGGTGCCCAGCTCCACTTACCTTCTGATTTGCATCCTGGCTCTCCCTTTTTCTCTACTTATTCCTTTCCAATGTGTGATGCCATCTCTTTTGCCTCTCTTCCTTGAGTACCTTTCTTTCTTCTCCATTAGACTGTCATTCCCTAATTCCTTTGGGATTTCACTGGTTTTTCTTCTGCCTTCCATACCCAGGCCTTTCCAGGCTTCTGCTCAGCTCCTTGCCTTTGTTCTTCCCCTCCTAGACATAACCCCACTACTCTCTCCACTCACACTCCTCTCTGTCCAGGACTGTGTCTTCGGCTTTGAGCTGCACTTTCCATACCTTGAGTGCTGTGGACTTGTCACCTGGTGCTATTGCAGGTGACTCAGAGTCAGCCTGTTTAATCCTCTCCTATGCTCCCCAGCCAGCTCTAATGCCCAGTCTTTCCTGTTCCCATCCTTTGAACTTCCTACTTACAGTTGGTTACCAAAGTCCTATGGACTCTTACATCAGTCCCATTCCATTTTTTCATTCCTGTTGCCACACCCTGATTGATCCTTTGACCTGGAGAGTTAGTCACCACCCAACTACACTTGCTACCTTCAATCTCTCTCTCTTCTACCACATTAATCATTTCTAGAGCCTAGCTCAGATACCTTCCAGAGGCTCAAAAGTCTCCAACAGTTTGCGGCCTGTACTTAGTTCTACCTTTCTCATGGCTTCTCTCCCAGCCTGACAGTTCCTATGCACCAGCCACACTGTAGCACCAGAGGGTCTTACATGTTGGTGGGAAGGCTTCTTTCTCCCTGAAGCTTACTGGTTATCTCTTTGTGTTTCAAGGTCAGGTCACAAGGCCATTTTGTCTGCTAGAGCTCTTCTTAGCAGATGTGGCCTCCTTGTTCCTCCTCTGAACGCTCATATTTTGGTATTTGGTTGTTTGCATCTAACTTTTCCTGTATCTTTCTCCCAGTCATCTTTGTCACGCTTCCAAAAAAACACTCAGTAGTGTGCCTTGCACATGTTGAATACTGTAAATGTAGCCCAACAGACCCTGGAAAGGAAACCATGAGTGTCTTTGACTTGCCTTTACCTCCTCTCCACTGCTGAATTAGAAATGGTCAGATGGGCCCTCTTCTCTGGCCTTATCATACTAGATAAATATTTCCATTTCTCACCTACTGTTCCTGTGGAGTTATTAAACCCTTTCTTAGTTTCAGAACCTTTTGAAGACATGGATATATTCACTCAGCCTGGTTTGTTCAACACCAGCTGCTTGGGATTGTTGGCTGCGCGGGTACCAGCTTCTGCCATCACTCTATGTACCCTGGCTACTTGGAAAGCTCATTCCATGTACTTCCCCATACCCGAGGGAGCCAAAGGGAGATGCTGGTTGGTGACTCATAGTCTGTTCACTAAATGGCTTAAAGATGAAAAATTAAATGGTATAAATTGGCAGAGCACTTTGAAATCTCATTTTCTGTGTTACATCTGGATGCTTAGACTCATTATCTCACCAGTATATTTAATAGTAAAGCAGTGCTTATTAAAAAGATCTTCTTTTTATTTATTTTTTTAAATTTAATTTTATTTTATTTGTGAACATACTGTACAGAGGGGTTACAATTACATGGGCAGGATAATGCGTACATTTCTTACCAAGCATTGCAGCCTCCTCCTTTGGCTTACCCTTCACATCCCTTCCCAGCCTCCCCCCTCCCCCCCAATCCCAATCCTTCTCCTTCCCCCCTCCCCCCCCACCGACGTAAAAAGATCTTCATTGAAGCAATTCCCACATACTTCTCTTTGTAGTCTTTGTTTCTTTTTCTTTTTTTTTTTGGTCATGGGGCTTGAACTCTGGGCCTGGTTGCTTTCCCTGAGCTCTTCAGCTCAAGGCTAGAGCTCTACCACTTGAGCCACAGCGCTACTTCTAGCCTTTTCTATTTATGTGGTGCTGAGGAATTGAACCCAGGGCCTCATGCATGCGAGACAAGCACTTTACCACTGAGCCACCTTCCCAAACTCTCTTTGTAGTCTTGATGTGGTATGAATGAGGAAAATGTAAAGAAAAATAAGGACCTTGAAAAATGTACTTTTTTTTTGGTCTGTTGTGGGGGCCTGAACTCGGCCTGGGCACTGTCCCTCAGCTCTTCAGCTCAAGGCTAGCACTCTACCACTTGAGCCACATCACCACTTCCGATTTATGTGGTACTGAGGAATCAAACCCTGGGCCATGCATGCAAGGCAAGCACTCTGCCACTGAGCTACCTTCCCAGCCCCGAAAAATGTACTTTTAATTTTAAAAAGCATGAAGAAAGTTTAGAGCATGTTCATATTATCTCTTAAGGGACTTTGTTGAGATAGGCATTAATTCCTACTCTGTGTGCTATTAAGAAAAGCTGACAATTTGGAAAGAATCCAGGGTTTCTTTCAAGGTCATGGGATGATGAGGAGGTTTGACCAGGCTTAGAAACGCAGGTCCTGAGAATCCTAGGTAAGTGCTTCTTCCCAGACCCAGTATTTTGTTTTGCTGCCTTCCCACCTAGTTTAAGTCAGCATTTGTGAGGTGGTAAAGGTTAGAAGGCTTGAGCATATGCTCTACTTCTTGGATGATGAGAAATATCTTCTTTCTTATCTTGAGTGGACTTGTCTTGAAAGCCAAAGTTGATGTTATGGATCTGTCTGGGTTATTGAACCAAGCGTATTCTGGGCTCTTGAGTTTAGTTTTTAACTTTGCTCAGGACAAAATACAGCCCCCCTTGAATTACAAGTGCCCCGGCTTAAAGTGTACTTGGACTGGGGAAATGTTGGAATCCTTTAGGAATGGAAACACCTACTTTAAGTGAATTATCCCTGCAGGGCTCCAGGCTTGTAACTTGTGTGTCAGCTTTAGCTAGTGAGGGAGAAAAAAAGGGTGGGAGGAGGAACAGGACTAGAGTCAGTTATTTCCCAAGGACACATTTGATCATGTTATTTTCTGCAGAACGTGTTTCTTTTCTTTTTTCTTTCTTGGTGGCAACGAGCAAACAACAGAAGTTTAAAAACCAAAAGCTTTTAACTTGAGGGCTTCCCTCCCACCTCCTCCCTTTATTCTAACCCCCCCCCCCCCCCCCCCCCCCCGCACCTGATCATAAATTCCTCCGGGGTCAGAGATCTGGGTGGTGTTTACCTGTGTACCTTTCTCCCATAATGCCTTGCAACGCGGTGCTCCCTGTGAGTCTTCCTCCCATGGAATTACCACGATAGAAAAGCCCCAGCTTAACCTCCCAGGTTGACAGCACGTCTGCCGGGAAAGGCTCTCCACTGGGCTTGAGCCTCCCCCCTCTCCGTCCCCGGCAGCGTCTCTGTAATGGGGCGCACAGCCTGACTGCTTGGCTCTGGCTGGGGGAAGGCGGGCGCGCGCTTTTGGCGCCCGCGCGCACCCAAGGGTGTGTGTGTGTGTGTGTGTGTGTGTGTGTGTGTGTGTGTGTGTGTGTGTGTGTGTGTGTGTGTGTGTGTGTGTGTGTGTGTGTGTGTGTGTGTGTGTGTGTGTGTGTGTGTGTGTGTGTGTGTGTGTGTGTGTGTGTGTGTGTGTGATCTCTGTTCTCCGCAGACGTTCCCAACGTGACGTGATCGTGGGGGGTGGCGGGACCCTGCGGGACCCTATCCACCCTCCAGGCCTCGGGGTGGCCCTGCGTCCCTTGATGCGTGATAGCAATCGGACACTTTTCCGTTACGCGGGGCGCCCGACGGAAGCTGGTGCTTGCAGCAGCTTTGTTAGGGAACCCCCCCGCCCCGCTCCGCCCCGCGGGGCCGGGGTGCGCCCAGGGAGCCCCGGGTTGCGGGGCTGCGGGCCCGGCCCGCCGCCTCCCGCGCCCCCTCCTCGTGGTCCCGCCTGCAGTTTCCTCCACAATGCTGTTATGCTAATCAGGTGACATCACCGCCCGGCCGGGCTCTGATTAAATTACAAACCGGCCGCCACCGGGAGGAGGTGGGAGGAGGTGTGTGCTGCCGGCCGGGCTGGGCGGCCGCGCGCGCCTACGATTGGCCATATTTAAACCTTTTTTTTTTTTTAGGTAGGACTGTTTCTCCCTTCTCCTCTTCCTCCTCCTCCTCCTCCTCCTCTCTCTCCTTCTCTCCTTGGCAGTTTCTTTCAAGTTTCTAGGCCGGGGCCAAAGCAACCCAAAGGAAGGAGGGTCCCCCCAGGAGTGGTGGGGATCCGCGCCCGGGCGTTAGGTGGACTCTGCAGCCGACCTGCGGTCCGTCGGAGCACCCCGCACCCGTTTCCCACTGGAATGCGGCTCGTTTGAGGTCCAGCCCTTTTGGTCCGGACGGGAGGCGGGCCTCACGGAAGCTGCCGCGAGTTGGATGGGGGTAGGAGGGGACCCGAGCGGGATTTCCAGTGTGCAGCCCGCCGGGGCGCTAAGCCGGGCCTAATGGAATTGCAGAGGACCTCCAGCATCTCGGGGCCGCTGTCGCCGGCCTACACGGGGCAGGTGCCTTACAACTACAACCAGCTGGAAGGGAGATTCAAGCAGCTCCAAGGTGAGTCCCCTCCCAAGGCCTAAGCTGCCTCGGGAGGAGCTGGTGGGGGCTCGGAGACTCCAGTTCTGCCATATGTTAGGTAGGTCCCCACCCAGATGAAGTCTGTGGCCACAAGGCCTGCCTTCCAGAGCCCACGCTTGGTCGTGCACAGCTTCTTTCAGGAGGCCGTTGCTCACACTACACCACGACTGCTACCCCCTCCCTCGTCTTTCCTGTACTCTCAGTTGTCAGGTATCTACTGCTTTACTTCTCCCTTTCTCCCTCTCTTTCTCTCCTACCCCCCCCCCCCATTAAGTGCTAATAGAGCCATTAGTAGGCAAGTATTTGGTTCCTTAGTCACCTTTGCTTCCCAGCCCCCAACCTCTTGCCTCTGGGAGCCTTCAAGGTGTAAAGTGCCCTGCTGAGATCCAGTCTTGTAGAACAATAACAAAGGGGTTTGGGGGGGAGTGGTCTTTTTTTGTTCCTAAGTCTTCAGTAAATTACAGTTCTGATTCTGAAGCTTAATTTTATCCCTTTTGATGTATTGTGTTGGGGGAGAGCTTTCCCATCCATTTAGTGGGCCATGTAATTTATAATAAAAGCCAGTAATTGTCATTCAATGCCATGGGCTGGATTAGTTGGATCAATTACAGGGTTTTTTTGGAGTCTGTATCAGGTTCGGTTAATGAGATGCATCCAGGATCTTCCTGCCCATATTTTTAGGACACATAGGATCCTGCACGTACAGCGCTGTACTGGGTTTTCTTGCCTGCAACCCTGGGCTGTCACTAACCAGCCTGCAGGCCCCGGCAGCAAGTCTCAAGCAATCCTTGAAAAAAAAGAGTTTGTAACTGAAAACAGAAGCACTTCCGTTTGGAAGCTCCAGGAATCAGGACTGGGCCAGGAATGGCTCTTACTACTGTAAAGCGTAGCATTCAAAAACTACGTGTTTCCTATTTTAAGTCTTCACGGTGGCACCAACGCGGTTCCTGTGAAGAGGAAGGAAGCAGCCTAGTCCTACTGTGTTTTTCTTGGGAAGGGGGAGTGGGGAAGGATGTATTTCATTCATGGGTTTGTGAAATAGTTGACAGTAATGACACTCTTGGAAAACAAGAAGCAGAACAGGACGTGATTTTAAACATTTGCTAAACTGCTGCATTCCTGGGGCAGTTAGCTCAGGGGCAGTTCTCTTCACTCTAGGGAACAGTTAGGAGTCTTCAAAAGCAGTCTCCTTGTTTGAAAGTTTAGGTGTGAGGAGTTGCAAGTGGTGAAACGGACGGGTGTTCATTTTCTAGTGTGGCTCTTTGGGGCTCTGTTAGCAGCCAGGGAACTCAGAATGTGACTCCCTACTTCATTGTGTCATTTTTTTCAAGGAGAAAACACCCCTGGGGGAGTCTGAGAAAAATACCCATGGTGATGTTTCCAGGCTGCCCACACCTCAGGAAAAAGGCCAAAGCTGTTGAAAATGAAAAGGTGTGGGAAGCTCAGGCCCACCCATAACAAAAGGCTGAGATGACTCTAAACTGCTCACTGAACAGGGTGGAGCTTACACACAGGAAATATCTTAATTGTCCTCTCTGGATAAGGAAACATTTAAATTAAAAAAAGAATTATCTGTACCTCCTGATATTTTTACCTCAAATATTTTCTTATGGAAATTCTTTCCAAATGGGCAGGCTTTGTGTTGTATGGTCACTGTAAAAGTTCTTAACTGACCTCTGCCCTCCCAGTTTAGCTCCAGATAACTTTATTGTAAAACATTGTGGTCTAGAGTTAGTTGCGCAAGTTTAGTGTTGGTATTTCTATAACAGAAAACCACCCAGTGTTGAGGAAGTGAGGACATTTGAATTAACTTTCAAGGGTGATGGATCACATTAGGATCACTTTTGAGTGTCTTGGGTGAGAAATAAAACTGATTGCATTTTAAACACAACCATCTAAGAATTTTGATAAAAAGCCTCCTCCTTCCCACCTCTGCCCTGGTACTCTTTAGTATTCATAGTTGTGGTCATTACTTTTTTGTGTCTGCCAATACTAGGGTTTGAACTCAGGGCCTAGGCACTTTTCTTTCAAGGCTAGCACTCTACCACTTGAGCCATAGCTCCACTTCTGACTTTTTGTTATTGGATAGAAGAGTCTTAGGGATTTGTTTACCTTGGCTAGCTTTGAACTGTGATCCTCACATCTCATCCTTCTGAGTAGCAAGGGTTACAAGTATGAGCCACGGGCTTCTGCCTCAACCAGCTTTTGATAACATGCACAGTCTCTTTTATTTAATTTTATACCCACCTACAAGGCTACCTCTTTACTCTTCTGGATATAATCTTTCCTAGCTCTTAACACCCAATGTTGGCAAAATACTACTCGATATTGTTTGTTTTTTATACCTCCTATCTGAGTTTATTTGCTTAGACTGCTATGATTCTCTGGGAGTTATTTTGCGTTTTTGCTGCATCCTAAGAATTCCAAAGGCACAGAAAGAGGTTTGCCACTCTGGCTTAGGAAAGGATGATATTAAATGAGCTGGTCGATTTACGTAAGTAGTAGTAGTGATTTATGGATCAGTAAATAAGAGGGATAGAAACAAAACTTCATTGACTTGGAGGGAGGGAGGGAGAGAGAGATAGGGAAAGACAGAGAAATTTATAGAGACATATATCACTAAGGCCTTTGGTCTAAGACAAGATCGTTTTTTTTTTTGGTCGGTCGTGGGGCTTGAACTCTGGGCCTGGGAGCTGTCCTTCAGCTCTTCAGCTCAAGGCAAGCACTCTACCACTTGAGCTACAGCGCCACTTCCGGTTTTCTGGTGGTTTATTGGAGATAGGAGTCTCACAGTCTTTCCTGCCCGGGCTGGCTTTGAACCGCGATCCTCAGATCTCAGCCTCCTGAGTAGCTAGGATTACAGGCGTGAGCCACCAGCGCCCGGCTGACAAGATAGTTTTTGATCCCCAGTACATACCTTCTTTCTGTCCTTTTTTTTTTTTTTTTTTTTGGCGGTCATGGGGCTTGAACCCTGGGCCTGGACACTGTCCCTCAGCTCTTTAGCTCAAGGCTAGTGCTCTACCACTTGAGCCACAGTACCACTTCCGGTTTTTCGGAATGTTTTGTTGGAGATAAGCGTCTCATGGACTTTCGTGCCCAGGCTGGCTTTAAACTGTGATCCCCAGATCTCAGCCTCCTGAGTAGCTAGGATTACAGGCATGAGCCACCCGCGCCCAGCTGTCATTTTTTTTCACCTGCAAAATTTTTAAGGCATCACTTTCTTCAGGTGAACCAGTTTGTGCATCTTGGAAGTTGGGTTAATTTTTTTTAAATCAAAGTTAATTGAAAGAATTTAACTTAGTGTAACAAGTTTAGAAAAATCTGTATTATTAGAGGTTCATGATACTTTCTCCCCAGTTTCACCCTTACCAGATTAAGTCCTTATGAGAGAATACTAGGCTTGCTATCTGGATACTCTGAAACTGTTGCTTGTGCCTATTGTACAAGTGAAATTCCAGCTCCAGCTTGGCATTGAAAGACTCCCCCCAACAACCCCACCTCCTGTGCTTTCTCTTCTTCCAGCTTTCCTGCCTTGCCCTCAAACCTTCTGGATCTGCAGCTCGAACCTGCTTCCCTCCAACGCCCCTCCCCCACTAGCACCCATCCCATTGGCCCCCTTAGCGTTATTAGTAAAGATGATACTGTAGTGAAAATGTGACCTAGTTGAAAAAGCATCACAATGAACTTTACCTTCTTTGCACCTTACCCTGCCACTTAGCAGCTGACATTCCTGAAAAATGAGCTCTTTTGGTTCAATGTATTTGCACTAGAAGGAGCCATAGCTCCTCCCTGTCAGCTAAGAAGGTAGGGGTTGGATGAAAAGCTTTAGACTATAGGAATGTATTACTCTTGTCACTCAGATTCCATGAATACAAGCTGCTGGCATGGGAAGTCAGTCTGTGCAGAGAGCTCTGGTCAGATGTCTGGACATGGGCTGCCCTCTGGCTTGGTGAGCCAAAAAACACCAGTGCTTTCAGCTTAAATTCTTAAATCCAAACTGGATGCTGGTAGCTCATGCCTGTAATTCTAGCTACTTGGGAGGCAGACATTAAGGAGGGTCATGTGGGGCTTGAGGCCAGCTCAGACCAAAAGTTTGTAAGATTCCATCTCAACAAATAGCTAAGTGCATCAGTAAGTACCTGCCATCCCAGATAAGCAAGAGACTGAGATTAGGAGGGTTGGGATTCCAGGCTAGACCAGGCCAAAACAAAACAAAAAACTTCATAAGATCCCAACTCAGCAGATATATCTGGGTATGGTGGCGCATATCTATAATTTTAGCTACTGTGTAAAGCTTAAATAGGCCAGCCTGGGCAAAAAGCAAGACCCTATCTAAAAAGTAACTAAAGAGTTGAGCACTGGTGATTTATGCCTGTAATCCTAGCTACTCAGAAGGCTAAGATCTGAGGATCATGGTTCAAAGCCAGCCCAGGCAGCAAAGTCTGTGAGACTTATCTCTAATTAACCATCAGAAAACTGGAAGTGGAGCTGTAGCTCAAGACCCTGAGTGCCCAGACCCTGAGTTCAGGTCTCACGGCCAACAGAAAAACAAAAACTAAAGCAAAAGGGCTCAAGTATGGCCTGAGAGAGTAGAGTGCTTGCCTATCAAGTGGGAAGTCCTGAGTTCAACCGTCAGTATTACACCTCCCCCCCCTCATAACCCCCCCACCCCCAAATCCTTAAATCCAAATTTGGAAAGACTCCAAGAGGCCAGTTATGCAGAAGAGGAGAGTGACAGATAAACAGCGTTTGAAGAAAAGATACCACTTAGGTGAGGAGAGTGAAGTCAAGGGATTATGATGGGAGAGCTTCTGGATAACTTCTGGTATTGTCACTCATTTTCACATCTTATGTCTGAAAAGGGTTCTAGTCACAGCCTTGCTCTTTCTTCCTTTGTTTTTGTCTCTTCCTGGCAAGTGCCTTCCTGCTGCTATCTATCTCTAAAGCCAGGCCCTGACAAGAGTTCTACTTGCAAAAAA